CTGGGCTCTGTCTGTGTCTGGTTTGAACTATAACCATCTCTGTGCCTCCTTCCTTGCTTCTTCAATCTTTCACTCTTTGGTTTGGGTTCAGTGTCCTCCTGGGTTTGAATTCCTCTGTCTCTCCTCCATCAAGCTCCTCTTCCTTCTTCATTGCTAGCCTGTTTACCTTTTTATTTTATTTTATTTATTTTTTATTTTTTTATAGTGAGCTTTTTTGGAGAAAGTGTTTTATTAGACATGATTTGATTCAGAAAGGATTGGGCTTTGGGAGAAGTGCTTGTGGGTGATGGAGTGAGAGAACATGCGTGCGTGTGTGCGTGTGTGTGTGTGTGTGTGTGTGTGTGTGGTGAGGAGATGACAAAAGCTGATAAATAGTTTAGAATTCAGAAAACCAGGAGGGTGGGACTGAGTATGGAGGCTGGGGCAGGGCTCCCACCCTTTTTCCTTCTTCCTGGGGAATTCCCTGTCTTTTGTCTTCTGATCTTTGGGATGCTTATCTCTCTGTGTCCTCTCTCAGATAGGGTCCTTGAGAAGGGATACAGGGTGGGGCCACCTGGCTAGGGGGTGGGCCTCTGGCGGGTACTCAGCCCTGAGCTCAGGGGCTGGCTGGGGGTGGGGTAGGGTGGAAACCTGGAGCCTGCTCCAGTGCTGGCGAAGGTGTGAACAAGGCTGCCTCATTGCCATGCGGTGAGAATGAGGCAGCAGGAGGTGCAAATGAGCAGCCGGCCCTGTGGGAACCCATGTCAGAACCCAGAGCTGACCCACCTCCTGGGCTTGCCCCCCAGAGTCCTCAACCCCAGGACCCAGAGAGCTCCAGAACCCAGCTTCATTGGTAGAGGGGGGCAGCCACCCGCCCAGCAGTGTCCGACTGTTTCCCCACCCCTTTTCCTGCTGCCGAAGGCTGTAGGGCCAAAGCCTTGTGAAGGAGCCCCCTTCTGTGGACAGCCTCTACGCCCCCACCAGGTAACTGTGACCCTGGGAATAACTCACTCCTCTTCCCCCAGTATCCTGTATTTCCTCTTTTCATTTCCTCAAAAGTCTCTACTGCACACACCCACATGTGCATGCAAATTCACATGCACACAAACACACATGCACATGCACACATCCACATGCATACACCTGTCTTTTTGCTAAGAGCTACACATACACAAACATGTACCCATACATATGTGCACACACACACTGCTCCCCTTGATCACTCATGGTGCCCACTGTTTGCCCGTTTCTCCTGGGTCCAAGATCAGCTTTTATGCTCCTTAGATGCTGGGAGGCAGGATCTATCCCTTTCTGGGTGCCCCTGGGATTGTGGGGGAGGCACCTGCTGCAGCTGGGCCCTCTCCATGCTTTTCCTGAGGGGCTGGAATTCAAACGTTGTCTGAGACAAGTTTGGGGGTGGGGAGAATTGGGAAACCTGCTGGGGCCTCAGGCAGGTGAGTGCAACACTCTGCTCTGCTCCAAAAATACTCTGTGATCTTAGCTCTTTCTCTAGAAAACAGTGATGTCACCGGTAGCCAATCAGCTTCTGGAAGGTCTTGCCTCCTCCTCTTTCTGCAACTTGCAGGGGAGAAGAGGGAGAGGGGGAAGGGAAGGGAGAGAAGGAGAAATGCATAGAGACACACAGACAACATACAGACAAACATAGAGAGAGATGAAACAGAATGCACAAGCTCACAAAAACAGGTCCATGCAGAAAAGCAGGCAAAATTTCTTCCCCTTGAACAGGTGAACAGAAGTCCACATATTCCCCCAACAGACACACACACACACACACACACACACACACACACACACACACACACACACTGATAGAGACGTAGGAACAGAAAGATAGGCAAGTAGACAGAATTACCCACATAGAGTGGGAGCTAGAAAGAGAGACACACAGAGACTTGAAGAGAGATACAGACATGGAGAAGGAGCAAGAGAGAGACACAGCAGAGAGAGACAGAGGTAGAGAAAAACAGAGAGATAGACATGAAGAAGAAAGCAAGATGAGAGGAGACCAGTAGGAGCACA